AACAATAGAGGATTCATACATTATATACAAATCATATAAAACATAGTTATTTCTATTATATACATGATATATATATTTGAATGAGAAGTAAACGATAATTTCATTCTGTAATTTCTAAATAATTGACAAACAACTTTCAATCCACTAACAATTTAGTACTTTGTAGTTTTCATGTTGTTTTTCTAAAACAAGCTGTACACGCGACTTTTTTGTGTGGTTTGTTTTCTTTAATTATTTTATAATACCTACGAAAAATCTTGAAGTAGCCTAGATTACATCTTATAACATTAACGGTCTGCCAGTCAGAGTTGCCTCAAATTCAGCATATCCATTTCAGAGATTAGGTGGAACAAATAGACAGACGAAAATTGTAAAAAAAAACTTGTTACCATACATACATCCTTCTAACAAACAATAACATTTCTACAAGATGATAAAAAACCTTTTTCCATATCGGAAGTGTATTGACTGATTAAAATTATTACGATGCTGCCAGCGCGCTCATTTCCACGGGCACATCGCTAAACGCTACGTCGACTGAATACAGACAACACGACCTTCGTTATGACATTGTTTATGACACTTTATAAAATTATTAAAGGATTTTTGTTGCGAAAAAAATTCTTCCTTGTAATTACATTAATTAATTAATCTGACTTAAAGAAAGATCTAGACTTTCCCTTGTAGACTTACAGCTGTTTATTTGTTGTTCGTTTCGTTCGTTTCATACTACATATAAGGTTAGATAAATAATATATGATTTTTGAATAAATTAAATATAAAAGTATTTATAGCATTTATGAAATATAGTATTAGCTATGAAAGATTCAGTGTTTAGAAAGATCTGCGTTTGAAGTTCGATATTTGCAGGATAAAGATTTTCAATACTTTTCCGAGTATGATTCAGCATTACCGTCCCAATATTTCAAAAATTCTTTAAAGCTCTCTAATAAATATATTTTAATTAAACAAAAAAGTTATAAAGTATCTGGAATTATCTTTATATACCCATTCGTTTAAAAAAATAAGGTGATTAACTAAAATAATAAAAGACCTATTTGGTCTCTCTCTTTGATTTTATTTCTAAAATAGGCATCATAAATTGGTACTTTTATATTGTCGAAAAGTCAATATAGTGAAAAGAAACTTTAATAAACATTTGTTAAATTTCGCGACTAAATCTTTTGAATATTTAAATATTTAAACTAGTTTCGCTGACCCTACCAACATCTACAATTACATTATGCACTTTGCAGTGTCATTGTAATAAGGCTATTTCGGATGATTCATTGAAATTTATCTCATGCGATCTCTGTAATGCTCAGTTATAATAATCGCGGAAATATAAATATAGTGGAAAAAATATACCGTTTAAAATCACAGAAAACTACAGTATTACAAATAAAATAAAGCGAATTTAACAGTTTTGTTATAAATTTAAATTCGGTTATGACGTCCAGATGAAACCAAAATATCTGTGGGAAAATCCATTGTAACCGAGATGTCTTAATTATAAAACATGATTCAGTCATAAAAAGAATTTTATACGCAAATATTTTGCCAGTATTTCGAGCGTTTTCCATTTATATTTACAAACATGTATGGTTGAATTGAAAAGAATGCATTTCTTCGTGTCTTAGCGAATAGCATTGGCAGTTTTATTTAGAATGTTTAGAACAAAATATCATAAATAGAGCCTCTAACGAACCTTAAGAAGTCTTACAAAAGGATAGTTATGGACAAAAAAATTATCACCAAACTTTGAAGTTTGAAGGAAAATGATAATGTTTTTTATAGCATTTTACTTAATTAGCATTACCTAGCTCATGAACTAAGTGGATAACTTATTCCACTAGGATATAAATATAATATGTATTTAAGTATCTATACTTCATTAACCATACTAATGAACCATCATCAGTGTCAGTGGTGGCGTAGTGGTTAAAAGGCTCGCTTCTAATACATGAGGACGCGGTTTCGATCCTGGCAAGTATCAATGTGATTTTTCCGAGTCATATGTACTTTCTAAGAGTATTTAAACATCACTGATTAATGCATTCCCAAAAAGGATTGATGTCAGGCAGGCGGCCAGGCGGCCAAAACTATTCGCAACATGTAAAGTAAACCCTGGCTAAAGCTGGGAAATTGCCGGGTAGAAGAAGATTAACTATACCTATGAACCATCATACCAAGCCTGCAGCATCTTCATCTAAAACCTATCATATTGTCGCATTCCAAAAAGTCTTTTATAACTTAATTACTTCGTTCAAATCTGCTCGCTGTACACTTCCTTATATTTTTGATTGGCGCATTGTACATCACGACTTTAAGAAAATTCTAGTCACAAATAGTGATTGTTATGCACGTCAGATATGGACATAATGAGAATTAAAATACTAGAATAATTCCACGCAGGCTCCTCGTGAATTGATTCCATCTTTATATTCATTCTTACTCATTGTAATGGTCGCTACTTAACTCTTCATAATTGATTCATTGTAATACACTATAAACACCTTTACCCAACGGATAATCCAACAACACAACTTTAAAGATTATCTATTAACTCTAATAATAATTGTTCAACAATATTATTCTCATGAAATCGGAGATCTTCCTTTGCTCTATTATGATATAAAACTATAATTGAAAGTGTATTTGTCTGGGAGTAAAATTGAAAACTCAAACCTACAATCACTGGGTGAAATAAAAAAATATTTGTCAGAAGGAGAAAAAAAAGTAATAAAAAAGAAATTCTTCTTGTTCGAGAAAAACATTACTAATATCTTTTTATATTTCTCTCAAACAATAACAATTGGTTTTAACGGTGATTAAATCTTATATAATAATAACCATTAAATCAATAATCACGTTTATTTATTGAAATTCTTTAGAAATATTGAAAAAATAAACAATAGTTTCTATTAAGTTACATCATGAATTAGGTGCATATGTAATTGGCGATGTATCCACCGCTATTTGACACCGTTCGTATTCACAGCGGTTGGATTACTAGTTACTAATGAATTTATTACGTATACGATATATAGAACATGAAGAAACGAGATTCCCGATAGAAACTCATTTCCCTATCCTCCAACTACGAGTTACATTATACTGCATCATATGATAGTGTTATGTCATCAAGAGATTGCGTTAGGTTCAGTGTAAACAGTTATTATAAAGAAACACAAACACTATCATTGTTTTTTTATTAAACAAAATTATCCAAGCGAGATTCGGAGAGAAATACAGCTGAATTATCTCATCTTTATAATATGTAATAAATCCTACAAAAATTATAAACGTTAAAGTTTATGAGTATGTGTGGTGTACATACATACATACATACGTCAGTGGATGTCTATCTTGCACATCATAATAGGAGAGGCTATAATATGTACTCCTATATCCTGGAATGCCTTTTAGTTGTTTGTATTAATTCACATATTATATAGTTTTAAAACAATTTACATATTTCTGTTTGAACCCAACTCCAAAGAATTCGAGGACGAAGTATCAAGCAAAAATAGTACATAAAACACACAGCAAACATAATAATTTTCAATTTATTAGTCACTGAATAAAGTCATTAAAAAGATATTAGCTATCGATATCATTTCTGCAAGTTAAGTCGCAGTAAGTGAAACGCAATATTTTAAGTAAAACCAAACAACGTCACAACAATTAGAAGCATCATTGTTTTTTGTTGTGACCACACAATAATACTATATAATAAACTCTGAAATAATCGGTTAATTTCATATCATTCTGAATAACGCCTGGGTTTTTCTGATGTTATAAAAAGAACTTTGTTTACGTCGAGTCAATTTATACAGAAAATTCTGGAAAGGACACAAAAAAATTTGATTGTTCCACTGTTTGTAAAGAATGCAGTCCGGTCCACGGGCGGTCAATTACCTAAACAAGAAATAGCGTGTGCTGCTTTTTACAACCACACTACTAAGAAACGTATAGGGTGTCTAAATATTTTGGACTTTGGTTAATTTCTTTTTCCTCATATTTAAGTATAAAATATAAGCTTTAGAATATTTCTTATTATTTTAATTGAACTCTCGATTATGGATTACAAATTTAACCAATGTTACTTAAAATGTTTATCTACATTAATTAATTATTTTAATAATAATATGTAATTTTACTATGTTATATGGTAGATGTAGTTTTGTAAGGACATTATTTTATGGACACCCCGTAGATTGTTGTATTACGAAAGGATTCATGGATGGATGAACTTGACCTTCATCAAGTTCTAGGTATTCGATGGATCTTCTAAGTCCAAGCTTATTTAAAAATAAACATGTTTTATAAAAATTGTAAGGAAAGAGTAAAATTTGATTTTCACATAAAAAAAATATATATTTTATACAAATGAAAATTGTAATAAAGGAATATTTTGAAATGACTTCTATAGTGTTAAAAAAATAGAAATTTACATGGACAGGAACACCTTAAAACCACCCCTTAATGACAACTTCATAACAAATAAGTTCAAAATAAATATGAAGCCTTATAAAAGAGAAAATTTTGAAATTATAATATACTTATTATTATTATGAAAATACTATGTATAAACTTTGATTTACATAAAAAAAGTAGAGCGTTTTTCGAAGTAGTCAAAATATTACAAAGAAATAGAAAATAACTACAGAGAAAAATGAATGGATAAATAAGAAGAAATTTTTCTTTAACTTCTGAAAACTAACTAGAGAATGCAGGTTAAACAACAACTAATTGGTTGATGTAATAGACAATAGCTTTAAGAAAAAACAGTAAACAACGAAGTAATCGGAGAAATGCTCCGAACTTTGTTCTAAAGCGAACACAATCACGTGTTCTAGATATAAAAATAGAAATGCTGAACACTCGTAGACACGTTCCGCCGGCTCTTTCTAATATTTGACATTTAACCTCCAAATTCAATTAGTTCTCACGTTATAACTTAGTTAATATCATCAAAGTGTACACTTATATTAAAAATGAGTAAAGACAGCGAAGGGTTATTTAAGAATTTTCACGAAAGCATAAACAACGCGCTCGACGACGTCGCGAGAAATAATTTCGCAAATTTAGAATCGAATGAGAAAAGCATATCGTATTTATGTAGCATGCCGTGTGTGAAAAATTATGATCTATCAAAAGAGGTCCAAAAATTCAAAAATGGCGGTGAGTTTCCAGTAAAAAAAGACCTGGAAAAAGCGCTTCAGTTGAAAGATGAAGGAAACAAGGCTGTACAGAAAGGGGATTGGGGTCGATCTCTACAATACTACAATGAAAGTATTATATTCATGCCGGAGAAGAAAAGTAAGTTAAAATAATAGCAATTTTACGACTATCTATTATATATTTAATTAAAAACAAAATTATTTTTGTTCCCTTACAGGCGAAGAGTTGTCAATCGTTTTAGCTAACCGTTCAGCCGCCTTAAACCATTTGACACTATACGAAGACACACTGAGAGATATACAACGTTGCTTGGCTCTGGGTTATCCTCGACACTTACGATATAAAGTTTATGAGAGGAAAGCTCGTTGTTTACTAGTTCTTAAAAGAAATCAAGAAGCTGTAACTGCGTTTCAGTAAGTTTTCAGTATTACAAACAAAGATTTTATTTGATTGATAATAATATATGTACTGATAATCATCTAATACTAAATCGTTATAGGAATACAATCACCGCATTAGATGAAGCAAAAAATCTTGATAAGGAAAAACGGCAGAAACTGAGAACGGACGCTAAGCTTATGTTGGAAGTTTTAAATAAAGGCTTGGTTTTAGCCGGTAATCCAAAAGATCCAGAACCATTGAAAAACACACCCCCAAAACCTAAACTTTCTGGAAAACAAAATAAGCTATACCCAGCAGCTTCAGAAGCTGTGGAAATTGCTTTCGATGAAACTAAAGGCCGATTTGCAAAAGCTAATCGAGATATACAAGCTGGTGAAGTCTTACTGATTGAGAAACCACATGGTGGTGTGCTATTATCAGAATTTTCTAAAAGTCACTGTCAAAATTGTTTTAATAAGTAAGTTTAAATTATATTATTACTTGCTTTCCGCCCGCGGCTTCGCTCGCGTGGAGTTCGGTTATATCGAATTTCCAAGAGAACTTTTCAAAAGTCTGGGATAAAAACTATCCTATGTTCTTTTTCAAGGTCAACTCTATGTCTGTACCAAATTTCAATAAAATCAGTTCAGTGATTTAGGCATGAAAGCGTAACAGACAGGTAGACAGAGTTACTTTCGCATTTATAATATTAGAAGGGATTTTATAAATTTCCACTTTTCATAAAACAATTATAATTTCAGATGTCCCATTCCCTTGCCATGTCCAAATTGCCCAAACGTAATTTTTTGCGGTGAAAAATGTTTAGACACTGCATTAAAATCGTATCACGGATACGAATGCCATATTCTTCCACTTCTATGGAAGTCTGGCTGTTCTGTAACCTGCCACATTGCTTTGAGGATGATAACACAAAATAGTAAAGATTACTTTATGAATATTATAAAAGATTTGAAAAATAAACCAACTGGACCGTACCAAACTGAGGACTACCGAAACATTTATCACTTGGTGTCACACGAAAACAAGAGGACTAAACAAGACATCTTGCATAGAACTGAAATGACGATATTCCTTCTTAAGCTTTTAGAGATTAGTGGTTACTTTAATGGTTCTCCACGAAAAAATTCGATAAAAATTGATGAATTAAAAACCATGGCTTTTGATGAAAAACACCTACATGATGTAGCGTCGTTTGGAAGTCTGATACTGAAAAACCTTCAAGTTCTTCAGTTTAATGCTCATGAAGTTTTCGAATTACAATGTCTTAAACCAAAAGCTGGTACAGCATTCCTTAAGCATGAAGGTAAATCAGTGTTTGTCGGCGGTGCTGTATATCCGACACTGGCTTTGTTTAATCATTCTTGCGAACCTGGTATAGTAAGGTAAGGAAAATTCTCCATAACCTCATATTCCTGCAATACATGCATACGACCTCTTTTGTAAGATTTGTATTATTTCTTTAAGATACTTCTGCGGTTCGCGAATAGTGGTCCGTGCCGTGAAAAATATAAAAAAAGGTGAAGAGGTTGCAGAAAACTATGGACCTATATTTACAACGGTTCCTAAGGATAAACGACAGTCGCAACTAAAAGAGCAGTACTGGTTCGATTGCAAATGTCTGCCTTGTGAACAGAATTGGCCAAAATATGAAGACATGACAGAAAATTACTTGCGATTCAAGTAAGCTCAAAATACATTAGACATTACGTGACACTTAATATTAATAATACACATTTATTGTGCAACGCTATTAGGCAATAATATGAAGTAATCGTAATAGAATTTTGCTCTAATTGTAATATAAATACTTTTTTTTAGATGCGATTCAGACCAGCCATGTTCTAATGTTATACCAGTACCATATGACTGCATGGAATTTATGGTACAGTGTGGTCTTTGCCAACAGTATACAAATATTTTGAAAGGGTTAAAATCATTACAGGTGAGTATCATTTTATTCCATACTAACTGCGACCCGCGGTGTTACCGCGGATTTCCGGGATGTAAAGTAGCCTATGTGTTATTCCTGGACGTCAGCTTCCTGTATACAATATTTTATCAAAATCGGTTCAGCCGTTTGAGCGTGAAGAAGTTACAAACATACACACACACTCACAAATTTTCGCTATTATAATATTAGTAGGATAACCTATGATATAGTGTAAATATATATCCCGGAATTTCGACTTGCCAGAATAAATTCAAATACATTTATTATATGTAACACTGACATAACAAATGTATTGTTAAAATTACCTCACTAATTTGGTATTATTCCGTACAATTCAATATGTCCGCATACGATAACTTAATTAGAATAACATCGAAAATTACTATTCAAATAGTCGACGATCTATATAGAAAATGACTGAAGAGATATAGCAAACGTATATCTTTTTCAATTAGATAATAATTTGACATACCTCAATAATATTACGGGTAAATATTTCACGACAATTCCTTTTAGTGTTCGTTACAACATCAAATGACATTTATTTCAATCATGAATCAAGGCATGTCTTTACCACTCGGACTATTCATCGTTTCGAGCCTTTTTTATTTTTGTGATATACTATGAGTTTACTGTTTAGCGTTATCTTAATTGGAACTTAACTAAAAAGAGCTTCAAATATATTTTGTTCAAGCTTTAATTTAATTAACGATTTTAAAATAATTAATTAAAAAGATATGTATGTCAGCAGTTTTAAATATATTTTAACTACTTTCGTAAAAATAATCTTATAGTTACATCTTCAATATTCATTCATATAAACACGAATTTTAGTTTGTCAAGCGTTTGTGGGTTTCAAGTTTATTCTAAAATTATGTCTGGTTTACAGGTTTTTGTTAATTAGGTATATTAATTTGTCAATAAGAGATGAAGGTCTGAAATTGTCAGAAAAAAATCATACTAAATAATATTCCACTTACAGTAGATTAGATTCTAGTAACACACACACACATACATATACATACACACATACATATTGTAGGTAAAAGTATTAACTTAACATTGTTTATTCCGAGAAAAAACATAATTTCATTTAATACTGAAATAATGATGAAAGGTATAAAATAAACAATATAAAATGAACAGTACATTATTGATTGATATAGTAGTTACAATAATTTTTATATTAAAACTCATAACTTGTTATTTGTCATAATAATTTTGTGCACATTCTAATAAAAGTTATTATTGTTACACATTTTATACATACATTATAAGTTAACAGATACTAAAGAACTTAAAAACAGTGCAATGCTATCTCTAGAGACTAGATCACAAAATATTATCTAGCAATAGCTTATTTTGATTGTGAGCCAAATATAAAAACATTTTATTTGAAAATTAAAACCAAAATGGCCCCACACAGATTTAATACTAGCCAGTTTTAACTCATTTTAAGAAAAAAAAACATCATTGAACAAATCAGTACATATAAACACCATAGACAATAGTGTAACAATATATTGTGTCGTTCCTAAATAACTCATCTGCATAATCATCTGTCTCTGGATCCCAAATACAACGCTGGCCGCACTTAATTCCAGCTCCCTTCATTTCTAACAATATCGTCTGAACCAATATTTTATACCTGAAAAATTAATACAACCTTTCTTAACATAATAGAAAAAAATATTTACTAATACAGTCAGAATTACATCAATACAGGAATTTAAATAATTTTGCCATGTCTAATATCTATTTTTACCTTTTCATATCAAGATCCTGAACTCTCTGACGTACAGCATTAGATATAGATTGAGCCCATCTCGGAGCTTGATCAGAGCGATACTGCCGTCCCATTAATTGTTCTTGCATTGTCGATAATATTATATCTCTTACATTTTGAGCTTGAAATCTATTTAACAGACAAAATGTTGTATAGATACCAACAAATTGATATTCTGAGTCAATATTACTTAAGTTATAGTTTTAATTTTCACTCACTTCTCACCCAAGCCCGGGCGTACTTCATATTTGGGAGGTGCTAGTGTTTTTTCAACCTCCACTGGACTCAACCCTGATTCACTAACTCTGTCTTCTTGTACCTGCTGTTCCTCTTCTACAACTGAAATGTAAAGATGTATTGTAAATTGTTATATAAAAAATATGTTAACATTGAAAATTAAATGTACACACCATCTTCTTCGTCCGCCATATTGTCATGTTTGTCTTAATTAATACCAAATATCTGTAAAAAACTAATATGTAATTATTTATTCAGGATACAGAGACACTGTATAAACTTGGACGAGCGGCGATGGGAGAAGGAAAGTATGGGGAGGCAATCAAAAAGTTTATTGAAACATTAAAACTCTACGATACTACATTGGCACCACCTTACAAATCTTATTATGATTGTGTTCAGGATTTAAGAAGTTGCATGCTATCATTGGGAAATTACAGCGTTGTTTAACTCTTGTGTTTTTTGTTTTCTGGTTATAATTAAGGTTTTAATTTTTTAAATAAATCGTTTGTTTTACTACATTATTATTTATTATACCTGTGTTAATGGAATTTGGAATTTGTTTAAATAATCTGTTTATTATTATAAATATAACCTCATTCCACTCATTTGACATTTAATGGAGGCACAATATATTTTGATTTTCCGTAGCATTGCTTGTTACCATGACAACCGTTAGACAGTTAACTGACCAAAATTATTTAAAAAAATCAAAATATAATTCATTGACTCAATATATAAAAAATATATAAATATAGTATAAGAAATAATTTTTTCCTATTATTAAATAACCATATTGATTATAACATATTATTTAAAATGAAACTTATATATGACTACGATCACACAAGTTGACATAACAAATAAATACTTGTTAAATAAATCAAATTACATCTACATTATGGTAAAATTAACGTTGCTAAGTCGATTAAATTTTGTATTTTTCTATATACCTAGCAGCACTGAATATTAAAGTCATAATAAAGTGATGGTAACTCAATTGACTTTTGTCAGGTGTCATAGGTTTCATGCTTTAAATTTTGATTGAAGAACAAGAAATCAAGTAACAAACAAATAATTGCTTAAAACAAAGTTATGGCTACATACGATAATAAGGCATGGTTACTAAAGAATGTGCGCGATGCATTCATAGCAACCGATGACACCGGTTTGTGCGAAATTGTTATGGCTGGTGAAGATTTCTCTAAAATATATCAAAACAAAGCCATGGAAGAAAAAAAGCGTGATAGAGATAAAGTTTTGTATCAGCCTAGTACCAGTAGAGGAAAAGGATCTGAAACGGAGGATGAGGATGAGAAGGAAGTCGTCACACAATTTGATCCTTACCCCGATATGGAAGACAGCGATGAAGATGAACCTTGCCCTAGCTACCCACGATTTACAGATGAAATGGTTCACAGGTACAAATTAAACAAATCAGAAATCATTTTTTTTTTAAATTATCTTAACATTTATTTCTATTAAAACAGGCAAAGATCAAATACAGCACAGTGGTTAGATAAAAAAGAACTGGCACTAAAGAAAGCGGCAAAAATCAAAGTTATCAAATGGGAGGACCCTCCAGCACCCCTAACTGCTGAACAAATGTCTGAAGTGTTTACAAAAGTTAATATAGTAAAACCTGAGAAAAAGAAGTCCCTGTTAGCTGAAATGCTAGAAAAATGCCCAGATCTCCCTCACCGTCAATACTTAGAATATGCAAAGTTTGATGGAACCGCACAACTGGGCCTGCCGACTAAATCATTTAAGATCTTCATGACAATGTTGCCAGAGAAACATCAAAATTATCCATTAATTGTTTGTGTTATTGCCAGTGCAAAGATTAAGGATTTGATTGGTTTCACGTGCTACAAATACAGGTATTTAATTTTTATTCTATATCAAGTATTGGAGTAATTCAAAAAAAATATAAATATAAGGAAATTATTCATCAATTTAGAGCTGTTAAGTAGAAAAAATGCACTAACTACAATTTATTTCAAAATTATTAATACATATAGACATTAAGAGTGTCCTAATACAATGTGGCTTTTTAAATTTAATAAACTTAAAATTTATAGCCTTAAACTGTTACATTCTTATTAGAATGTTTGAAGTATCCCATCCAATGATTTATATAGCTGGATTTTACCATTATATATATCTGGAAATCTACTAAAGCAGAAGCTTCTTCATAGTTTTTTAAGCCATTTTCTTATATGTTTGAACATATAATTTCAGCATTGAACACCCAGATATAACTCTTGGATCTGTACATGATTATGGTCTTTATATAGCAGAAGATGATGGTGAAGTAGATTGGGCATTTCCTTGTTTGGATAACAATGAACCCTGTTCTAAATTCGGGTTTACATGCCTCGGCCTAGACCTTAAACGAAAAGAAAGTAACTCCTGCCCCATAGCGGACTTTGAAATGAACTCGTTTACATGTTTTCCTAAAGCATCGGTATCAGGACAGAGCAATGTCAACACTTCGAGACAAAAGACTGGCGATAGTGACACTTCGGAAATAATAAGGGCTATGAATACTCTAAATGAAGGTATATTTCACAACATTTATATGTAATATAATTCTAGGGTCAAAAGAAATATAAGCAAAGATATCATTATTATATAGTTAATTCTTAATAATCATAGGTAACAGAAGCAAACTTGGATTCCAGTCTGGTGTAGTGACCGATGCATCGCAGGATAAGCTTTACAGGGTACAGTTATTACATAAAGTGAGAGCAAATACACCGGTACAACTTGGAATCACTTTGGATACTATAGAAGTTGTCCCTTTGGTAACTAATAAACATGCCTTTTGGGTAAGTCTATAACAAAATTAGAATTTTTATTATGAAATAAGATAAATAACTATATGATAATGTTTTCTATTCCAGGCCCGTCCAAAATATTTCTTACACAGTATGAATTCAGTAGCTTGGTGTCAGATTTTAGAAGCCAAAAGCAGTAAAACTACATTCAGAATAGTTTACTCACCAAGTCATGATATTTCATATCATGATAGGAATAATTCAGGTAAATATATCATTATTATATGTAGACTTTAAAAAGGTAATGAGATCTAAGATTTTCGCTAGTTTTATTCATTCAAATGAAACTAAGAAATCGATGGCGGTAGGTGATAAATTACAAGACCAACTGACAGACATTCACATCTCGTCTGCCCGTGATCACGGTTGTTGAAAAGCAGCCGAAACGTCGGGAGTACGTAGTTTTTTTTACAAAAGATAAGTCGCGTAGTATAATCCTTTAAAAAGTTATTTATATTATATGAAAATATGTCCCTTTGATTCCAGTCAATGTGAACCTCTATCATCCGAACACAATTTACAAGAAGCACGACTTCGAATGCGAACATGATACAGCGAGGAAGATTGTAGACAAAGTGAATACTATATTAGATTTAAGAAACAGTCCGTGCCGCCGCGAATACAAATCTGTTAAAGAGAAAAAATTACAAACGAGAACAAGTTTCAACGCAAAACATATGAGTTGAGTTTATATTCCTTATAACTTCGACTTTAAAGTTCCTGAACTTATTCATATAATCTTAATTATTGGTATATATATTTAATCATTGGTAATTATCGCTCATAGTGAATTACATAAAGATAATCGACTAGTCACATGAAAATATATATTACTTACATTAGGTATCAAAGGTATCGCCATGAAATAGACATATGTAGTAATAACTCCATATAGATGAGGATTTTGACATAATATTGGTATTTATTCTCATTCATAATATTAAATTTGCTGCCAGAAGAAATTAGTAACTGCCATAACATAGTATTTCAAAATGCCTTATTAGCATAACTGAGTATACCCACTATAGTTTTCTTTGAAATAGGTCATATTTAAGATTAATTTTATTTTCTACTTTATAATGTTATTTTAATCAATGTAATATATTTCATTTACAATAAAATGCAATTGTATATGCTCACGAGTCCATTAAGTAACGGTCCATATTGGTGCCTAAACTAGATAATGCATAATTAGTGTTTAAAAATGATTTTTCGATGGTTATATTTATAACTGTGTTCCCGTTCAACTTTTACTAATAATAACCCGGAATGTTATATTTCTGGTATCCTATGTAACATTAATCTTAATAACTGTTATAAATTAAGAAAACAGGGGTCATGTAAAAATGGTGGGTGAATTTTTATAATTTTGTATTGCCGGATGTGAATTGCAAGATGGATGAGTGATAAACATTATTGTATTATGCTTGAGTTAGTTATTTATTTAAGATTCTAGATTGTGAAACTTCCCTATGTATTTTAATATTTATTTAAACTATCTCATTAATGAATGTATCCCAAAGAAATTATTTATTATTTCCATATGAGTTTGAATATATACAGTTAAAAGGTTCAGACTAAAGTATGTTCATATATTTTAAACATAAATGAAATGTTTTAATATGTATAATTTTTAATTTCATAAATTAATGTGTAAATGTAATCGAAATGAAATAAATTGTTACAAGTGATGCATTTTTGTGATTTTTGATTACTTTCAATCCTAAATTACAACATTGTTATTAATTATTAGGTAGTAATGAGGATGGTTAGACAAAAATAAATAAAATATAAATGTTTTAAAATAAACATATTTACAAATTCATCCACAAGCTATGTACAATATTTGTACCTAACACCATTCCAATTTATATACAATTAACAATAATATTAAGTTGTTTTACATAATAATAAATTTAGTAATATTATACTTTTCTAGGTCCAATGAAGACAAACATGATTATGTATTACAATTATCAAAAGAAGAATGTATACAAATTACATTATATTGTTATATGGCTTACATTAAATTTAAAACATCTAGAGTTATTATGTATTTACATTAAATTCTATAATTTAAAATTAATATTCATCATTCTATTGGTTCTATTGTGCTATTATCTAATATATGCTTTGTAATTTTGTTGACTTTGTCCTCGCAATCATTCAAAATAACATTATCGAGCTCCATTGCTCTTCTGTACAGTGCTAGCGTCTCTTTGACGCTTTTATGTAGCTTTGTTTGACTGTCTACAACTTTTGATATGTTGACTTTTGCTTTTAAAAATTCAATGTCTTCATTAGACAAAGCGGAATATGATATTCTTGATCTGCTCGGTGCTTTCGCTGCCATTTGGTACTGTCTGTAAAGACAAAGTTATGTAGTTAACAGTTATTAAAGTAAAAAAATATATACTGAGTACAACTTCTCCTATTCTTCTACAGCCACGGGCAAAAGTATTAGGCACCCTACAGTAAGACAAGTTTTAGGGTGTTTTAGCATAGCGAGTGTAAATAAAACTGCATTTATGATTACAATGGTTTATTTTAAGAAAATAATTAATATTTTGTAGGTCCACCTTTTGACTTAATAACCGCAGCCACTCTTTTTGGCATTGACTCTACCAGCCTGAAACATTCTTCTCTTGATATATTTTTCCATTCCTGCTGTAACGCGGCCAATAGAGCTTGTTTATTGCTAATCGAGTGCCTGCGGATATTTTTCTTTAAAATGGACCAAATATGCTCAATCGGGTTGAGGTCTGGTGATTGTGGTGGCCAGTCCAAAAGATCAATACGATTTTCAGCAAACCACTTCATGGTATGCGCGGACTTGTGGCAAGTGGCGTTGTCTTGCTGAAATTTCAGGCCATCGGTGTTTGTATCACCGAAAATTTGCGTTATCGACGTTGCTAGTGCTGTTTCCAGAACTTCAGTGTATTTAACACTATTCATTCGTCCCTCACACAACACCATTTCGCCCACTCCGTCGGCAGCCATGCAGCCCCAGATCATTATTGAGCCTCCACCATGCTTAACAGTGGGAACCACACATTCTGGGTTGTATTCTTCGCCAACCCTTCGCCTAACATAAGTCACACCGGGTGTTCCAAATACCTATGCCAAACGAAAAAAAAACACATTTATTTTCAAAGTTATTATTTTTCTTGCAGTACGTTATTTTAAAAACATTTATGTGTTTTAATATTGTACATAAAATAAATAACAATACCTCAAAGTTAGATTCGTCTGACCACAGTATGTTGGACCAATCTTCCACTGACCAATCTCTATGTTTGAGTGCCCACTCCAACCGATTTTTCTTATTGTGTTCTGACAGCCACGGCTTCTTCCTTGCTTTACATCCTTTTAATCCAGCTTTAAGAAGTCTTCTTCTCACAGTATAAACACTCACTGAGCTGCCTTTTGCCTCAGATAATGCTGCAGCGAGCTCTAAAGCAGTTTTTTTCCTGTTTTGTAGAGACTGCCTAATCAACAATCGATCTTCCCGTTCAGTAGTAACTTTTCTTCTGCCTGTTCTTGGTCTATTTTCATGGGTGCCAGTCTCTTTGAAGCGATTTATAGCATATTGAACTGCACATCGCGAGCACTTCACTTCTCGGGCTATTTTAACCTGAGACATGCCTTGTTCATGTAAAATCTTAATTCTAAGACGCTGTTCAGCACTAAGTTCAGATTTTTTCGGCATGATTAACACGTTAAATGTTAGTCTTTAGAATTGTGATAGGAATAGTTGCGTAGAAGACGTGTATGTTCACTGCAAGCACTGATAACACACTATAACCCGAAACGCAAAAAAAGCAAATTCGAAGAAACACTGCTTAGGAGCACACCTGGATGACATAAATATTTTCTTTTATCTTAATTTGGTTAAAAATTGCCGCTAATACAATAGCTAAACCATAAAACACACACTTGACCGCAATATAATGAGATAGTGACTAACAATAGGGGTGCCTAATACTTTTGCACGCAGCTGTATTAGAAGAAAAAGATTAAGAGTGAGACTTCACTGAAAGCTTACTGTTTTATATCATGATATTTATTGCGTCGATTATTAACTTCAGTTTTCCATTGTTCCTTTTCACCTAACAATGTCTCATAATATCTGAAAAGAAATACATCAGTATTATTTTTACATAATACAGAAAACTATTATGTATAGGAAAACAATATATTAAAATACTTTTAAATGTCACCTTTTGAGTTCTGGATGTTCTTTCTGTTCAGTCTCGTTGATGTTTCGACACACATTTCTGTCTATATTCTCTGACGTAGGCTGCACAACTATAATTCAGTTTTTCAATGCATTATAATCATTTTTCATTCATGTCATGGCGATAATAAGTAAAATGAATTAAATATGGTATTAGTATTGCAACTGGAAGGGGTTAAAACATAATATACTTGAAACAATTATTAAATCTATTATCACCAACCTAGAGAATCCCGCCTTTCAAAAAATGTTGAACGTCTCCGTCGAGGCGGGGACTTAAAAGATTGTTGCGCCTCATTTTCAGCAACTGAATTTTCCATTATTAAAACTTATTATCGAACATATATATTATTGCAACAACAAATACAAAACTTTAGCACTCAAATTAAATTCAAATTACAAATACAAACTGACATCATAAAACGGACGCCGTTTCTGACAACATAACGACTGTGTTCAAAATAAAAAAAATATAAAAAAAATCTCATATACGATTTAGTGTTACAATTACATGTTGTTCAACTTTTTTAGAATAAAATTAATTTGAGATAGTATATATAGTTCTAATTTATATTTCATAATTATTACTCATTACTTTGATTTTAGGAGTTTTTAACACTAAGTTTATAAAAAAGAAATATGATTTTCACTAGATAATTTTAAACTTCCAAATAAGACCCAGGTAAATTTGTGAATAGTAGGTACCTATTAAGCTTAACTATTAATGGATTTTTTCCTATTATGACAACTGTTTTGACGTTTCTTTGGTCCCAATGTAAAACAACAGTGATCGCTATTTCTTCGGTAAATATAATATCTAAAACTACCGCATCGAACTCTGAGGTGGTTTTTCTCAATTTTGATAATAGATTCACTTACTAAAATGACTTGTTCTCGCGGGAGAACCTAAGCACCGATGGGTAAGAATCAATTACGTATAATATCTTTGTATTTGATTTCATTTTTTTTTTCATAGCTATACATAATGCATCGTTTTGTCAGTGTTTGTGAATAAACGTGTTTATATTTCAACAGAATAGTGATGGAGTTCAATGCATGTCAAACAAATGAGATTTCGGACCCTTTAGACATTGAGTTTTATTCTGATCGATCCCGTACTCCCAGCCCTTCGCCCGTGTTAACAACAAATGTATGTTGTGACTTGGAAGACATATTGAGCGACGTACGTGAAATTGATTCCTATCTTCGATCATCTCTGCCTCACAGTTTAATTATCACTCTTATAAGGCCTTCAATTCATGACTAAAAAATCATTAAATTTTTAGCTCAGTGTAATTGGTTATAATTAAGAAATAATCAAACAGTATTCACATAAAGCCAAACTAACTAAAAACTTCTTAGAGAATATAATTTTATGTGAAATATCCAAATAATTTGATTAAAAACTTACATTACAGGCCATCACAGATTCTCTCCAAAGCTCTGTTAGGTTGAATAATAGTGAGTTAACGAACCAGGAGCTGACGATCCGACCGGAAGCTAACATTGAATTCAACATTCCGGAAGGGTTAGATCTCTTCAAAGTGATATTTGAGGTTGAGAGTGATACAGATATTCCGATACCAACAAGAATGGGTGATGTTGAGGGAGCATCTGTCCAAAATCACCCACTAAAAGACCAGGTTTGTTATTTTTTATCTCTCTCGATATACCTAATGATCTAACATTTTTCTTCTAAGCTTCTTCGTAAATTATTCTTGTCTGAAAACCGTGACATGTAAAAGATCTTGATTTTTTATAACTCATTCTCAATGAAAAACTAGTTAGGTAGTAAAAATAATCATTTTATTAACAAATATTAAGGGAAAGACCATTTTATTTTAAAATTAATTGTTTTTAACATGGACAATTAAATTTATATATGTTTATAATGCTTGCATTTGTAAAATGAAAATTTAATCTATTTATTACTATTCAGCAACTGTGATCATGGGCAGACGAGATGTGAATGTGATCATGGTTGCTGTAAAGTAACCCAAAGTATATAGTTCTTCACAATAATATAAAAAGGTGTAGTATAATCTTAAAAATATTAATTTCATTTAAGTTTGGGATTATAATTAAAATTAAATTAGTATATAGTAAATCCTCCAAAATTATATTACAAACATTTTATCATGTTTATTCCTATAAAATATTCTATTAATATTTTCATGTCTCCTATTTTAGGTGTAATTTTTTCCTTATACTAGCTTCTGTAGTGTGACCACTGTTAATTAATGCTGAACTGGCACTAGAAATATTTTTATTAAGAGAAGTTTCTAATTATTATTTATATCCCACAACCTACCTCAATTAATTAGACTGAATATTTTGTTTCATTCCTTTTCCTCTTTTTCTTATATAGGTATCTACCTAATTTTATTTTATAATCTTTAAGCACACACTATAGGTATTCAAGTCATCATTAAAAAAATCTATTCTAATTGGTCCCTACTAAATTGAATAAAATAGACAAGTCTTGTAATAAAAAGGACTAGAATCTATGAATGATAAATTACTGTTTTACTGTTGCTAGTGATGTGTAATAAAAGTAAGACATAAAGCCAATGTGATAACATTCAAGTTGTTTGACCGTAAATCCAAATTGGAACGCCAATTTCCGCGCCAAATTGCTTCAATCTAGTTGACAGCTGACAAACAGTTGAGGATGTTGCTTTATGACTTGCATGCGATGCAAACATGATCGATTTAACGAAATAAAAAAATAACTCACCTTTAGTATAAATACTAATCTCAGAATTCACTTAAGAATACTGTTAGAAATATTTCATTTCTTTATAATTATTATTAACGTCAACCCCAATTGATCAATCTTTGACAATTAAACATAGATTTCGCTGTAAGCATTTTAAATTGGTCATGAATTGTAATAGTTTTATTCCGATTATCTTATATGTTGACCGATAATTTTTATTGCCAATAATATTTGTGCATTTTATTATATAAGTTTTCTATGGGCCAATTAAATGTTATCGCAATTTTACGTGTGTTTTGCAGGTTATACGAAATAATTATTATCGTTTTTTCTTGTAATATAGATATTTTTAAATAATGTAAGTTAGGAGTTAGGTGTTTTATTCTTATTGTAATGATTTTAGCTATTTTCGCATTCTATAATCTTGGATAAAAAGTGAAATGCTTTTAAAAGTTTTCGTTGACATTTCCATTACGTTTGCAATGCTCTAATTCCCTCGACATTATGAAATGAGTGTTATACAAAAATGCAGTACAAATTCGACTTATTGTCGTCAACATACAGGAAAGGGCACAGGAGTGCTTCGTACGCGTCATTTTATTACCGATAGTAGGTAATAGGTAAAGTAGGTAATAAAAATAACACGGGAATTAAAAAATAATAATAATATTTGAAAAATGTGACGCGCGCGGCCATCGATAACGGCATACCTTTAATTGTATATTTCGAATTTTAAATGCATTCATGTGTTAGTGCTATCGGTTAACCAATCAGTTCTTACGAACGCTAATTGACCAGTTGTTTTGGTTCAGTCCATTGTGATCGTATTGAGCTTGTTACAGTAACGTCTGTAGTCGTGTTACCTTTATATGTATAAGACGATAAGTTGAAATAAATGAAGTATATATATCAAGGAAGGCGGTTGTGAGAAATTATTAATAATAATTATTACAATATCTTGATTAAATCATTTGTATGTTAACAATAGTATGTGCTCGGAAGATTCACATGCTTAGCATATTATGAGCTGTTCGTTGGGTGGAGTGTTTACTGTTTGTATATGATTAGTTTAAACCATGAAGGTCGTCAAGGTAAAATATATAAATAATTCATTTTATTATTCTATATTTCTCATAGCATTTTTCCAATATCTTTCTTATAAGAATTTATCAGTACATTTATTTTAAAATCTTTAAATGCTCGCATCGTACTTTATGTTCGTACGATAAAAGTTGCATCATAGATATGATAAACACGTGAAAATAATTTAAATGTTCATTCAATAAATATATTAGTATTTTTTGTTAATATCAGAGAGCTTTTAGGACATTGTATTATCATTTCAAAAATAACTATGACGTTGGTTTATATGCCTGTATGATAAGTCTGGTGGCCGCGTGAATCACAGCTTCTGTAATGTTTAGTATTCGACCAACCGTCGGTACGGTCTTGGTTTTGTTTCTATTAAGTAATATATAGTCTTATAATGACTTATGGAAGGTATTCCCAAATTGTTTATAAGGTGATGCTATGTTTTGTTTACTTTCGGAACATATCAGCGTTGAATTGGCCACTTTTTTGTTGTAAACATCTGATTTAGAACGATCAAATATTCGTTGTTTATTCGGGATTATGTTGTTTTAAATCATTTAAAACAGGTTGAGGAAAATACTCTGTTATTAAATTTGATATAAATCTGTTTTCAACTATGTAGTTATTTTCTTAAATAATTTTTTTTTTAGATTATCACTTTGTTCTGTTACATATGCAAGTGTATTAATTTAGCGATAGGTTTTTCGTGGTTCGTTAGAGACGCCTTTCCTACTGAATCAATATATCACTCAGATTAAGAATAAAGTTATAACTGAATATTGACATTAAAAGCCATCCAATCAATCTCCTTTCCTTTAGCCCCGAGATTTTTTTTTACACGTTAACTTTTTTTTTCCAATTACTTTGTTGTTTTAATTTTTATTGTTTAAATGATCGTCTATAAAAAAAATCGCAACACAATCCTTAAAATGTAAAAGGATCTAAACCAGTTCCCATAAAAAGATCTTTGGCAAGTGTAAAAACTATATGTTACAACTGTATGAAACGGTTTCTCCAATCAAAATCGTATAATTAATTAATTATATTATGGTCAGAAAATTTATGTGGGTATTATTTTTATTGACAATTTATGTATTATTTTTAATTGTGTCATTGTAACTTGAACAAATGAAATAAATAATAATAACCCTTGTAGCCCAAGTTAAACCATATTTTCTAAAATTCTGTTTAGTACTTAGGCCTTACTATAATACAGTATACACGTACAATGTTTTCAAGTAACCATTTATGATTAAGGAGTCGTGTCGACATGTGGGCGGGTCAAAGTTCTACGAAGTGGTGGATGGCGAAGGTGACACTTGCTCCCCAACAGAGAAGCAGGACCACATGAAACCCATTGAGAGTGATGATGAAGGTAATCAGATTTTAGTATTGAATACTAATCTAATACATACATTTGTTCACTTATTAACTTATTTATAGCATTTCCACGTAACTTATAGCATTTCCACGTAACTGGCTAATTTTAAGTGAATTAGAGTATTTTGACAAAGTCTATGTATATTATCGACAGAGAGTCTGTTAAGTACTAAATATATTTTCGTCCCATCTTAATGGTAGTAAGAATAATGTAATAAATAATACACTAAAAGCAAAATACCGTGCAAAGTGCAGTAGCTCGACGAGGAGAGCAGACCCTGGCTAAAGCTGGGATAATTGCCAAGAAGAAGAAGAAAATACACTAAAAGCAGAAATAAATTTATGCATAGACTAATTTTAAAAGTACATACTATTTTCACGAATACAACTACCAAAAAAACTAACAATACACATTAAGCAAAAAGAATTAAGTGTCTATCAAATCTATATATCTACTAGAAGACCCGGCGAACTTCGTATCGCCCTATAATCAAGAAATATCTGTTACTTTTTTTATTTATATTTTTGGAGTTTACCTATTAAAGCCATAAATCTCCGTGTTTTGAAGTGCGACAGAATGATTGACATATTAGTTAGTTGTCAAATCTAATGTCAAAAAAAACGTTTGTGTCAACAACTACTAATAAATTAAAAATTAATTAAAAAAACATTGTCCCGCGGACAAAATTGTAAATCTAAACCATTCCCAGATCCCCTTGAACACACACAAAAAATTTCATCAAAATCGGTCCAGTAATTTAAGAGAAGTTCAGTGACATACACACTCACAGAAGAATTATATATATAAAGATATATGTCCATTAACCTTGAAAATATTTTTAGTATCAGACGTGGACCAGGAATGCACGGTTTTCTGTGGGGTCAGCTACTTGGGGGCCCAGAACATAGCTGACCCCAAGTCTGAAACTGACATACAGAGGATCATGAAGGAGCTGAGTTCTATGCCAGAGAACAGAGATGGTATAGCTGTCTCCATATCTATACCGGTCTGCTCACAGGGATTGGTCGTGTGAGTATATTGAGGATAATTTTGGAGAGACTACTTTTTATAAACACGAAAGTTTGAGGAAATATGGATGTTTGCAAGAACGACTATATGGATTTTGTTTAATTTTTACTATAATGTAGCTTAGACATCTGAGTAAGGCAGGCTATAATTGTCTAAATTCCCGTAATTCCATGTTGTTTTGAATCACATCATTTGTATAATATATGCACTTAAAAATTGTATTGTATTGTTGCCGATTTATTAATAAGCCTATTGTTTTACTACGCTTTGAAAATTTCTTTCTGCCCAATTCCAAAGACCAAACGAAGTCACGAGCAAAAGTTAGTTACGTATATTACTGGTCAAAAACCACAAGTATTTTTCAAAGTTATAACAAAGTAAATGTCTTACATACGAAGATTACAATAAGTTATTTCTCTATATGTTAGAATAACAACTGTGGTTTCGTTTGATAATGGCCATTGTTTTACTCATTGTCACCAGTCACTTGAGGCTATTAATTGTCATATTTATATAATTTTGTGTTATGATATCAGTCATTTAAGTATTCAGACCTCAATATTAATAATACGAACTATATACTTTCATACATTTTTAGGTTTTCTTAGTAACAAATTTTTAGTAACAAATTAATTGATTAAACATAATAGCTAACGCCATCTGTTAGTACAATATGTAATCTACTTTTATTTACAAAGTATTGTCAGTGTACTGTAATCATGCATATTTCATTAAAATGTTTATAAATTTAAACTTAATATGTAAATAAAAAATATATTTGCCATAAAATCACAATATGAGATAAAATAATATCTAATAGGACTCAGACAACTTCTCTGGTTATACACCAAGAATTGTCTAATAGGACTCCTTGACAATATCCCCTCAGTCTATACACCAAGTATTGTTTAATAGGACTCCTTACCATTTTCCCCCAGGTTATACCAAGCGGATACAAACAGCGTCATGACTCGCTACGCAGTGAACCGGATATCATTCTACGCGCGCGGCGCCGCCGGTTCGCCAGTAGCTTCCTGCTTTGCATTCACCTGGTCTCATGGAGAGACGAAGGAATCAGCTGTATACCGCTGCCATGTATTCAGATGTCACATCGCGGAAGCAGTCAACCAAGTGTCCAGTGAGTTTTACATGATTTAGTCATTTTAATTAATTTTTTTTTTACCAATAATGGCTCTAAAAAATTGCCTAGAACACATATTTTCTGTGATTTCGCGATTAAATAGCGTTATTTTTCTCGTACGAAAAGAAATATCTATTGAGCTTATAAATGTTTATTCCAAGACTAAAGATAATAATTAGATATACATATATATCGTCTTATCTTTGTTTGCTATAACTTTTGTATTTAAAATATTCAGTAGTAATCAAAACATCCATGTTTATGTAGGTGGTTTATTAAATATTGAACTCTAATAACCCGATTTGTGTGTCGAGGCGAGCAGGTAGGTAGCATCGACTTCGACCTTTGACCTTCAAATAATAAAAGCTACCTTCAGCCTTGAGTTTCCAAATGACAATGTCCTTACCCTCCAGTGATCAATATGTATACCATAACTGATTAAAAAACCAAGACCGTTAGCTACAGTAGGAAAATATAGAATATTATGCTTTTCATTTCGTTATAGTATTTTGGCCACTGATATTTTTTTTGCTACATCTGTAATCTAATTAAGAATTATCTGAGGCTAATATATAAAAATGTGTGATGATGTATTGAACAATATCTTGATGACTGCCAGCGCCATCTATTTCTATTTAAGAGAAGTATATGTAAAGGATAATTGTTATGTGAAAAATTCTAAGAAAACAAAATGTATAACATCCCCATAAATTTATTGTCTACATATATTTTTTTTTATTTTTCACCATTTGAAAAGTTCATACATATACAAATTATAATTACACAATAATTAATTCATTCGACCAATGAATATATAATTCCTATAAAGATTATCTGTGATCAGATCAGTTTATCCAAAACCACAAAAGGACATCTGCTTTCAGAAATCTATAACGCAAGAAAAATAATTAAAAGATATCAAGAATTCATAATTCAACCGTATCTTAACATGTTAAGGTTCAAATTCGCCTGTCACTATAGTTCATGTTGAACAGACATTTGCCTGTACATTTATTAGTGTTTATTAAGATGTATTTATCTGGCAATGATTTGTCCAAATATTAATCAACATTCGCCGTTTTCGTTTCTGAATCACTGGACGTTCATACTGGAAGTAAATCGTTGTATACTGTAAGTATGATCGTATTGAGTCAGTGTTTATATTAAGGCCGTTCTATCGACGCCATGGCTTTTATGTACTACAATGTTTGCGTTAGTGGTATTCTGTGTCTTATCTATATTATATGTTTTTTTTTAAATCTGTGGTTGATTAAAATAAGTTAATATATTATGTAATTGTAGATTTTATTCTGGTCTACAACATAAGTCAATGCTAAAATTATACAAAAATATGGCTATTTATAATATTTTATTACGTTATTCATTTATGTTAATTTATTTATATTATATAAATATATACCCATGACAGATTATAAAACCGGAATAAGTTCAACACACTCTTATCTAGATATCGGATTGTTTGTCATAAACTTGTGTGCCTTAGTGTAAAGCTGTCGTGTTGAAAAAATCGTATTCATCATACCATCAATTTTTATTATTATGTAACTTCAGTGTGAAAGTTTTTTCGTGTGTGATTTTTTTAAGGTTGGTAACATTATTTTTTTGAACTTTAACAATACAAACTTTTTTCATTTTTGTGACGATTAAAGTTCCGATTGTGATCAATTTGATATGTGGGTCACGCATGACATTTTAGTGCGAGCAATTTAACATCGACCTTGAAATATATACGCCACTGATTTACGCCCACAATACATTGTTTAAACATTCAATATATAGGAATAAATCGATTAAAATTGATACTAGTTTTGATGATTTTTGATAGATTTTATTTATTAAGGCCATTATATGGATTAGAATTAAAATAACAAGAAAATATTCTTTAAGAAAGCACTGCAATAAGATCAAAAACAATTTTTATATATATTTTCCATAATTTAGATTTTATGTACACGATGTACATTAGAAATTAATATTTTGCACTTTTAGGGAGAAATAACGGGATTGTGTTAGAACTTGTGTTTTTGTTAAAATTTGTAACAATGTTAGTCATTGAGTAATGCAGTCATTCAAAACGTCACATCCTTATTTAGCTGAAATATAATATCGTGATAACTTCGTTAAATGGAATAGTTTTTGGTCTATTATATGAAACTATTAATGATTTTTAAATTTGAGTTTTGATTTCAATATACATAATTCTTTCTTTTCGTATGTTTATTTAACTTATAACAAATAGTGGGTAAAGTCTGAACAAATTTGAGAAAAACCTCTGTTTTATGATAGTTACGTTTTTAGTTTAATATATGTACCTATACATATTAATGCATAAATACTAAAATTAAATCTCAACATGAGTAATAACAAAATATTATCAAATGTCGTAAGATAAAACACGACCAAAAAATACGAGGAAATTGATTTAACACGGGACAAAATAGAGTGACGATTTCACTGACACACACAGAAAAACATTCCCACAGACAAACTAACATTCTGTGTGAGTGTTTGACAAAAGTAAACTTGCCACTTCCACTTTTGGGGGGTGGTTAAAAATCAATCAACTAGCTTAAAATTCAATCAACTACCTTCTCAATAATGTGTAACTCCATTATAAATATGAAGAAACAAATAATTTGAAATCTCTGATATGTGCGACCGAGGTCGTCAGCAAGGGTTTGTGTATAATGTAATCTACCCAGGGATCTAGATTGTAGAGTGTATGGACTTTTAATGTAATTTTAATAAATCAATCTTGTTAATACTGCTTTATATTTAATTTGTAAATGTTGCTGTCAGATACCGATAGTAGAAAAGGGTGGTTGTGTTATTGACCTGTCTGTCTTTACATAATTTATTAGGTATTTTTTTTAGTAAACCATTAGATACAGAAATATTTTGATGATTACATAAAATTTCTAAGTTAAGGCCAAGTACCGGTATCGCTATGAAAGGTATCTTGGTGGCAACACCACGACAGGAGATCTGAAATTAATTAGTGAAAAGTTTGTTTTCTTAACAAAATATAAGGCCATTTAATTTCTACGTTTCTTGCACCTTCATTATCTATATGGTGTATTCATATACGAGAAGAAACTTTGAATCGATTATACATACGTATATACTAATGTTTCTACAATTGCTTACTTCAAAATAACATCAGAACAATCAAATACGTACTCTGTGTCATTAACATAAGGTATATTTTGTTATAGGTTGTTTTGCGAAGGCTTTCGAGCGTGTTCCTCGCTCGATGGCGTCGTCTCTGGTCGGTGATTTGAGTGCTGCTCCATCAATGACCGGCTCTCTGACTGAGGGTGTGACGTCAGCACCACCGATGCAGCTGATGCATGTACTGGAATGTACAGTTGATATCAAGGAGACAGACGCTAAGGTGATTCTTCTTCTATCTGGCAAAATCCCAACTATAGCCAGGGTCTGCCTTACATGTTGTGAATTTTGGCTCTTTGTTTTTACGACCGCCTGACATCAACCCTCTTTTGGGAATCAGCGTTAATCAGGTGATTGATGTAAAACAATATAATGATGATAACGGAACGTCATGATTGTAACAAAAACTGCTAGATTGATTTCGGTAGAACTTTTCCAATGATTCAGCTTAGACGTCAAAATATTTTATAATTGATATCAAGGAGAAGTACGCCAAGGTGATTGATCGAAAACATAATATAATAATGATGCCGTAACATAATAATATAGGCTCAGTATTGAGTGTAAAAAAAAAAACTGTTTCTCCAAACACACAGTTTAGAAGTACATATAAACAACAAGTATAGAAATAGAGAATTTTATGACATTCCAGCTGGACAAGTTGAATTGGTAATACCAATGTATTAAAATCAAATTTATAGTTCTCATAAAAAATGTTAGTGTAATTGGTCCTAGAAAGGAATCATTCTTGATGACAAATATTACTTATATATTCAACCGAAGAAAAATACGAGGTTCACAAAATACGTATCAATCGATAGCTCTTACATTGCTAATATTATAATTGTATTTCATTTTCAGGGCACTTTCAGCCATGTGCCTAAAGAGCGTTTGGGTTACAAGTTGCGAGGTGGTATCGACAAGCAGGTTACGATCAATGTGACACAAGTCTCTCACAACATACAACAAGAAACAGAAGATCCACAGGTGAGCGATAAATATTAACACAGATATATGTAAAACACTAATATATGTTTTTTAAAAATGATGGTATATAGACGTTTGTTGCGTCACACAAAAATTGCTATATGGTTTCTGTGAAACTTTCCAGTGATCAGCTTAGACTTCAAAATAGTTTATAATTCAAAATGTCTTGTTATTATCTGAAGAAAATGACATGATTGTATTCTGTATGAAGTCATTCTCAACTAATTTCTCTCTAATACGTAAACTAGTAATAAATGAACAAGTAAATAATTTGTATAGCTGGCTAAGTTTCATAATTACTTTATCTTCTTATTTTTTTTCTCCATTGGTTATTAAGAGAAGAATCGATAATTATTTGACAATATTCTTGATATATTTCCAGGGGTCATATAACGGTGGTCTGTATATCGAGAGGTGTTTCGGAATCCTCCTCGCTCCAGGACGAAGCGTCAAACATTCAGACATGCAGCTACTTGAAATGGTCAGTTAACAAGTCATATTAAATATCACAAATATAATTTAAATTGACACTATTTATAATATATAAAGCATAAAAATCATACATGTATTATATAATTATAAATATTTAATTATATCCAATACAATGAAATTAAGGGCATACAAATATTTAGATTAAAAAAAATACAAACATCAAATAAATTATACTCTAATTATCTCATTATATCGACTAGTACACAAACAAGCTTATATTTTCCTATCGACTTCACATTGGAGTAACCGTGATCATGGGCAGATGAGATGAATCTATCTTGTCATTTTCTGTCACCTCCCAAGATTTTTAATTGCCACATCTATTACTGTGGATGTTCGCAGAATGCTTTAACTCTTGAGGTCTGTTTGTCTGGTCACGGATATGGGATTTTATATTTTTGATACTATGATCTAAGGTGTTAGATAATTCCAATCAATATTATTACCCATGCTAATTAGTCCTTTGTTTTTACGAGCAAGGCCCTGCAATTTTATATCAAGGGATGTAATATCGTTCACTGTATGATCAATGTAATGTTTAAAATGTTGATTATAGCAAAGGATTTAAAATGAAAATATAAAAAGATAAATCCTTAATTCATACTTTCTTTATATGGTACTAGCTTTCCGTCCGCAGCTTCGCTCGCGCTGAGTTCGGTTATATTACGTTTCCAAGAGAACCTTTCAAAAGTCTGAGATAAAAACTATCCTATGTCCTTTCTCAAGGTCAACTCCATCTCTGTACCAAATTTCATTAAAATCAGTTCAGTGGTTTAGACGTGAAAGCGTGACAGACAGACAGAGTTACTTTCGCATTTATATTAGTAGGGATGACTATTTCATTCATTTGATAAAACCTTCCCAAAGAGGTTTTTTCTTGAGAGTATTAACATATATAGAATACTAGATCTAAAACAATCATGTTATATTGTTAGTGGGCTCCAATATAACTTATAGATATGAAATATAATTAGTATATAAGTTAATATTTTATTTGCAGGTGAGCGGTTCATCTGGTGGTTCTGGTTGTTCGGTGTGTGCTCTTTGGAACGCTGGGGAATCAGCTCTGGCTGCATTCAACGTGGCTAGCGGAGATGGAGCCCCGGCCTATATGTCGCTGGCTTTGGACCTCGTTATTAGAGGAATACGGGATCCTTTGAGGTAAACTATTAAAAATTTCTTAATGAAAAATTCTGAACACAAGCTTGAATCGAATCTGCTGGTTAATATCGATTATTGCGTTCAAATTTTGTTGCTATTTAAAATATCTTAATGGTATGAAATATATAGATTATTTAATAAATAATCCTGACTCAGATACGTGTAGTTTAATTTCAATGTAAATGGAACCCAAAGCTCAGTGATTTATGTTCGAATCTTGTCAATAAAATTTTTATTTCTATGTTAATTTCAATACATACATATAAATTACCAAACTTTATTAAAATATATTTTTAAAGTAATCCATTACCATTAAGAGTTTATCACTTACTGGTTTTGTATATAAGTGTGTTCCTTTAACAGATTGGTGATAGAGACTCCTGTTAAAGTGTTTCCACCTACTGAAAGGTTCTGGTACTACTCCAAACGACCGTTGGTGCAACAGTTCTACATTAACTTGAAAGAGGTATGCTCATAATATTAGTTGGACAGTTTACAGGGTCATTGATATACAAAAATGTATTATTATCTAAGTATCTGTATGAAGAATCTTTTAAATAGAGTGCTGGAAAATTTGATTCTATATGAAATTGAATCAAGCTGTATTAATACAGCTTTTCTCCACATATTATCTACTGGAAACTATTAATATATTGTTTATCTTCTTCTACCTGGCAATTTCCCGACTATAGCCAGGGTCTGCCTTACATGTTGTCAATAGTTTTGGCTAATTGTTTTTACGACCGGCCGCCTGCCTGACATCAACCCTCTTTTGGGAATCAGCATTAATCAGTGATGTCTAAATATTCTTAGAAAGTACATATGACTCGGAAAAATCACATTGGTACTTGCCCGGGTCAGGATCGAACCCGCGCCCTCGGCAACGAGAGATGGGCCCTCTTACCACTAGGCCACCACTTACTTACACTTATTGTTTATATTATAATATATATATTTTTTATATGTCTATCATTATTTCTGTCATCCTATACTATAATATACAGGGTGACTGGTGAATTACTATCAATATTTAAGGAGAATACTCGGTACATGATTCTCATTCGAATTATGTAAACAAAAATAGGTACTTAATTTTTGACCAAATTTCCGTATAAATAAATAAAGTGTTGACACGTTCCAAGTGTTCCAAGCGTGGACGCGTGCGGCGGCGTAGTGTTGTATCAGCACGCGTGTGTGAGTGTGTGTGTATACCTAATCTGTAGGGTGTTCACACGATGCGTAATTAATTACACAACTTTTGGTTAACTTTACTTAGAAGTTTATTAATATTTATGTTATATTAATTTTTATTTTGTCATATATGATCGTCAAATATCACGTCCTCAAATATCGATAGTAATTCACCAGTCACCCTGTATAGCTACATTTCAATATATGTATATGAGATATATACATTCTATTAAATCATCACTACATTTATAAATATTTATTTATTATTCCAGTCCGTAGATTCCTTGGGTCAGCTGCAATACGAGGTGTCTAGTGTGGAGACGTCCGGAGAGTTGGATCGCTCCAGGCTTAACCTGCCTCTGTCGTTGTCCAGTTTATTGCCGTCTCCGCTGTCCTCCGCCCCAGCACCTCCCTCGCCATCAGACCCGGATTCTGGTAACATATATATATTATACTAGTTTTTGCCCGCGACTTCGTCTGCGTTAGTTTCAGAATTAGAAATGTATATCTGACTGAGTGAACTCTATTCCTCCTTAAAGACTTCTCATAGATGCAATCATTCACAGAATATCGTAACTATGATCGTCACAATATCGTCAATCGTAATACATTTTCCTTTGTTCTGATTTTTTTATTTATATTTTTGGATTTTACCTTTAATCCTTAAATCTCCGTGTTTTGAAGTGCGACAGAATGATTGACATATTAGTTAGTTGTCAAATCTAATGTAAAAAAAAACCCGTTTGTATGATAAATATAAAAGGCTGTTTTTAGGGTTTTCCCGAAAGTGAATCAATTTTTTTCAGCTTTTAAACTTTCTCTGAACCTCCACTAACATTTCAAGACTAAAATAAGATAAATCTGTTCAGCCGTTCTCGAGTTTTAATGAGACTAACGAACAGCAATTCATTTTTATATATACAGGATGACTGGTGAATTACTATCGATACTTGAGGACGTGATATTTGACGATCATATATGACAAAATAAAAATTAATATAACATAAATATTAATAAACTTCTAAGTAAAGTTAACCAAAAGTTATGTAATTAATTACGCATCGTGTGAACACCCTACAGATTAGGTATACACACACACACACACACACACACACGCGCGGCGGCGTGGTGTTGTATCAGCACGCCGCCGCACGCGTCCACACTTGGAACGTGTCCACACTTTATTTATTTATACGGAAATTTGGTCAAAAATTAAGTACCAATTATTTTTACATAATTCGAATGAGAATCATGTACCGAGTATTCTCCTTAAATATTGATAGTAATTCACCGGTCACCCTGTATATATTGCGATCAGTTGAAAGTTTGATACCTTATATATGGAAATATCTTTGACTGTTTTGGTTGAGATATAAAAAAATAGGATTGATTAAGCATCTTGCAGTTACACTTACTAACATTAGCACCTTTTTTTTTCTAGATGGTGATGAACCACTACTAAGTGGCACCGGAGAAGTGTCGAAGGATTGTGGGGTCGATGTGCTTGAGAATTGGGCTCAGGTACTCAGAAGGTGAGTGATATTTTATAAGTGTATATTAAAATATAACTCAATATATAACACTATATATATTAGCAAATAAGTGTGCTTATATGAGACTTGAGCGTCTCTGACTAGTCAACCGTAACTCTTAGTCATGACCTCATACCTATTTTAAGTTTTTCATTCATACATACTATCAATACTATCATGTGCTAAGTACTGATAGTTCTATATAACGTAAGTTTCTAGAGCCAACATTTTTCTATGATAATAAAACATATTAGATATAACTTTTATAATTAAGCATGTTATTAGTTGGGTGGGACCTCGACCTCGTGCGTTGGAGCAGCTCGTGAGAGTTGGTGTACCGGAGGCTTTACGAGGGGAAGTGTGGCTTAGACTGGCAGAGGTTGATCAAAACGATAAACTGATGGAGACTTATAGAACGTTAATAAGCAAGGTATAGAAGACTTTATGTTTGAATAAAAATTCTCTAGGCACGCTTGGGGGGTGGGTAAGCTGGTGAAAGCGTTAGGAAAAGTGTGATTGGGCAAAACGAACGATAGTGATAGGATATAAGTTAGTGAAAATAGATGTATAGAGTATTACGGTTCATAGATCATCATCATCATCATCAAAATAATGGATGGATGCGCGGATGAATGAATGGATGGATGGTAAATTGCTGAAGCCGTTTATTTTTCAAATACAAATTGATACTTAAATGTTGCCTCTACAAAATTGCAATGATTCAGTATTATAGTTAATTATAATGTCATATAAATAATTCTAAACATTATAGTGTATTACAATTATTACAGCATAGATGGCACCACTTGCTACAATATATGAATCTAGCTTTAAATGTTAATACTATAATAGTGGAATATTACCTGTGTATACATAAAGTATATTATAATGTTGTTTTTCCCCAGGATTGTCCATTCGAAGCAGTGATCCAACGCGACATAGCCCGTACGTTCCCCGCTCACGATTTCTTCCGCGAGGCGGGAGGTCTGGGTCAGGATTCCTTATTAAGAATGGCGCGGGCTTACGCTGTGTATGATCATGAGGTCGGCTACTGTCAGGGATTGAGCTTCCTCGCCGCTACACTACTGTTACACGTATGTTCAAATACTATTATCACCTAACAAACAGTAAAAATTATGTAAATGACGATTAAATATCGGTCTCAGTACTGTAAACGATTCTATAAATACTAATAATAATGCTTTTATTAAATGTCTTTGAAGCAAATAGATAGTCGTTTATAAGGTTCGGTTTCATTAACATATTTTTTTGTATTATTATATTTAATTTTTTATTTTAATGTTGTTTAAGCAAAGGCTTCGTTTAAGGGTCGGTTTCACTAACGTAAACAGTTTTAAAATGTTTTTTCAAACTTCTTCCGTCGTATCCAAATATTATAAAATGTATCTATACCACAATCATTGTAACTAAACGTGACCTATTACAGTCATTGAATACTAAAAAAAGTAGGGTTTTGACTTTAGTTAGTGTATTATGTTGTTTAATATCTACTTTATAAGATGTATGATGACAAAGTTTTAATGTTTAAACAAACAAAACTAAATCATAAATAAATTATTTTTAAAACAATATATATGTGTCTAATATGTATATTAGAATTATTTTGTTTGTAGATGCCAGAGGAGCAAGCATTCTGTCTGTTAGTTCGTCTCATGTATGGATACGGTCTGAGAGAGTTATACAAAGATGGCTTCGAGGCTCTGTACATGAGGCTGCACCAGTTAGATAGACTTATGGAGGTAAAAAAATATATGTATACACACTTAAGTATGAATTATAGAGTATCAGTTGTGCCAAATTAGTAAAACTATTATTATGATTATTACGCGTTACTTTATTAACTACATATTTTCTACTCGTCTGTCGTGATCACGGTTGTAGTGTGTAGTTAAAATAATGAAAAACGCGTAGTACATCAGAAAATATTAGTTTTAAGTCTAAATGAATACTCACGAAGGTCATATATATTTACACACACATAAGTTTGAATATAGCAATATATCAATGAAACTATTGTATAGTATGTATTTAATAAATATACTGTAAAATGTAGAATCAAGCTTAATATTATATAAATACACACTATATATATATATGTAGTATTTTTCCTAATGTGTATAATTGTCTTATTCAGGAGCAGCTAAGTGAGCTCCGTGCTCACTTCCTAGAGCTGGGTGTTGAGCCGCACATGTTCGCTTCACAGTGGTTCCTCACTGTGTTTACGGCACGGTTCCCGTTACCACTGGTCAGTACTCAATATAGAGTAGTAGTTAATATAGTATACAGGGTGTAGAAAATGTGAGAAAAACTATTGAGAATATTGAATTTTGTTTTCTTATATGGTGTATCATCAGAAAGTAGAAATAATTAACAGAGTATACAGGGAGTAGAAACTGAGAAAAAATTGAGTAGAAGTAACTTTATTTCTTTATATCCTGTATCAATAGAGTATTGTAGATAGTCAACACAGTATACAAGGTGTAGAAACTGTAAGAAAAAAATTGAGGCCTAACTTTATTTCGTTATATCAAAAGAGTAGATTGTAGTTGTTCTTAACACATATACAATTTTAGTAGTTATTTATGCTGTATTAGTAGAGTAGTAAAGTAATAGTTAAAATTCTACCATTAAGATTTTTTTAATGTGCTTTTATTTCTTTTCTAGGTGTATCACATCCTGGACGTGTTCCTTCTTCAAGGAGTGAACACCCTGTTCCAAGTGTCGCTGGCGCTGCTGTCGCGAGCCAAGAAGGATCTCTTACAACATGACTTTGAAGGTGTACTCAAATATTTCAGGTACAATATTCATTTTTAATATAATGTAAAAATCACTTTAATGCTAAGCCATGTAAAAACTATATATATTTTTGGAACTTTACAGTAATGTTGTATACAAAACATATTATATTATATTAAGCCATTTAAAAACAGTTTTAATACGTTATATTTCCTAAGTATAGAACGAGTTAGGAAATAATAAAAATATAGTTATAAGTTACTCAAACTTTTTTTGTTATACAATCCATTTTTGTATTCATATTTTATACTAAGTGGTACCACTTTACTTTTCTATAAGAAAACTATACAAACTTATATTATTTCACATCATTAATTGTAATTATTTTCTGTTCCAGGGTCACACTGCCTAAGAAATGTCGCGCTGAGGAATCATCTCGACAGATCATAAAACTAGCTTGTAGCATCAAAGTGAAAAGATTACAGAAGTACCAACAGGAGTATGAGAAATTCATTAAAGGTACATATGATTAATTTACATAAAAAACTACGTAGAAATAATTATGTTATTTAAAATCCCTACTTAGTATTATAAATGCGAAAGTAACTCTGTCTGTCTGTCTCTCTGTTACGCTTTCACGCGTAAACCATAAAACTGATTTTAATGAAATTTGGTACAGAGATAGAGTTGACCTTGAGAAAGAACATAGGACAGTTTTTATCCCAGACAATTGAAAGGTTCTCTTGGAAACGCGATATAACCGAACTCATCAATAAAAAAAATTTTACAACTTGCAACCAGTGTAGTTATTCAATTGATTTGCTTATTAAGCTATCTTTTCATGATATGAATATATTTTTTAGAATCGGCAGATAAAGAAACAATAAACGTGGAATTAGAAAGATTGAAGGTCATCAACAATCAACTGACACAAGAGAAAGAAATGCTGGAGACACAACTCAAACAGGTCAGATTATAAACTTTGACTTTTTTATTATTATTTTGATTATGATATAATTGTTTTATTAGTACTCGCAAATATTTTTTAATATATAGCCTTGAACGTCATATAAAAGAAAATTAAAAAGTATAGAAAGTATATCTTAAAATCTGCTGTTTTTCCTTTGTATATTTAAGTTTTATTGGATAAACTGATTATTTATATTGTGTTGCAGGCTCGTGGGAATCTGGAGGAGACACAAAAGGAGTCTGTCCACTACGCGGCCGTGTCTAGAGACTATAGGGAGATCTGTGCTAGACTTGACAAACAACTACATCACATACAGGTCACACACACATATATTTTCTTATTTTTTTATTAGATGACCCGGCAGACTTCGTAATGCCTCAATCGATGAATATTTTTTTTTATTCATTTATCGGAGTTTACCTTTAAGCCATAAATCTCCGTGTTTTGAAGTGCGACAGAATGATTGACATATTAGTTAGTTGTCAAATGTAATTTAAAAAAAAAACACTTGTATGGGAAATAGAAAAGCGCTGTTTTTAGGGTTTTCCGGAAATGATTAAATTTTTTTCAGCTTTTAAACCTTCCCTAAACCTCCGCAAACATTTCAAGACTAAGATGAGATAAATCCGTTCAGCCGTTCTCGAGTTAAGTCGAGTTAGACTAACGAACAGCAATTCATTTATATATATATATATATATATATATATATATATATATATATATATATATATATATATATCTAAAGATATTCTCAAATATCCTTATAATGTAAAGCAACACTGAAATAATATCTAATCGAATATTTAAAATGTTTAACAAGCTTCGAGTAATGTATATATTTATTTACAGGATTGCGTCAAGGGTTGTGTTAACTGCAGCGTAAAGTTAGCACAGAAGGATAATAAAGAAGGTATTAAAAAAACATATTTTCAATGTACAAAAAAGACACAAAAAAATCAAAAAACTAGTTTTGGAAGTAAATCTGTACGTAAATCCTAATCACTTTTCGTCTATCGTGAAAAATAATACTCTTCTTAAAATTATGACACTTATTTAATTAAATGATTAATAAAACTGAGTGTTTCATGTTTGCAAAACGACTGCAGACCATAGATTCTAGATCTACATATAATATTTCATAGACAATATAAATATATACATAGAATATACAGACTCAATCTTCACATTAAGAGAAGTGTTAGTATCAAACTTATAGATTAATAGCTGCGCCCCGCGGTGTTAACCGCGGATTTCCGGGATGTAAAGTAGCCTATATGTCATCCTGGACGTCAGCTTCCTTTATACAAAATTTTATCAAAATCGCTTCAGCCGTTTGAGGTTTAAGAAGTAACAAACATACACAAACACTCACAAACTTTCGCAATTATAATATTAGTAGGATATTTGTAATTTTCATTGTAATGTTCAGAAGCGGATCAGTCTGAGAAGGAGGGTAGGGAGACAGCGAGCGAGACTGAGGCGAGACTCAAACAACGGGTCAGAGACTTGGAACTGGAATTGGCTCAAGTGAAGCTGGCGCATGTACAGGCGCAGTGCAGCAACCAGGTGATACATACTAGTATATATAAATACAGTAATACCCCGCTTAACGCGACCCCGTTGTCACCGGTTTCACTATAACGCGATTTTCAAAAATTTATTCAGGTTGGGACATTGCAGAGTATAGACTATAGACAATAATGATGACCGAGTCTTGAACGTGTGTCAAACGATTAAAAACAGTGTTTGGTTTTACAAGAACGTAAACAAAACGCTACCCAAAAGACAATACATGTATTTTTTCGTAAAAAATAGGAGTACCTATGTATTCTATAGTGTTCTTAGAATTAAAGTGATTGATTAAAATGATTTTTATATTTTTGTATTAAATTTTGACTGTGTTTAATCATAAACCTCGATATACGCGAATTTCAGTTAACGCGATTTTCTTCGGAACGTATCCCTCGCGTTAAGCGGGGTATTACTGTATATTCAGGAATATATTACCAATGTGATTTTTCCGAGTCATATGTACTTTCTAATAGTATTTAGACATCACTGACAGTGGGATATGTATATATCATATCATATTGTGTCAGTGGTGACTTAGTGGTTAGAAGGACCGCCTCTCATGCATGAGGACGCCGGTTCGATCCTGGCAAGTACCAATGTAATTTTTCCGAGTCATATGTACTTTCTAAGAGTATTTAGACATCACTGATTAATGCATTCCCAAAGAGGGTTGATGTCAGGCAGGCGGCCGGTCGTAAAACCGAATAGCCAAAACTATTCACAACATGTAAGGCAGACCCTGGCTAAAGCTGGGAAATTGCCAGGTAGAAGAAGATATAGAGTACGAAAAGAGTTCATACTAAGTTATAGAAAATACTTTCATAAAATAATGTTCCATATTTAAATAGATTATAATAATATAAAGTGCGTGAAATAGTCTTAAATAGCCGCGTTTCTTCCGATGACTGTAGGAAAAGGGTTCATACTAAGATAGAGATAATCTTTTTTTTCATCAATTCATGTTCTATATTTAAATATATTATAATTATATAAAGTGCGTTAAATAGTCTTAATTGGCTGCGTTTCTTTGAATGAGTGAGAGAGACGGTTGCCCTATCTCTTTTCCCACTTTTTCCCAATCAAGGCTGGCAAAACACCCACAAAACTAAATATCTTGTGGATGTCTTTGTACGTCGGTACTACCTCTATCATGTAGGTCGATTGCTCATTTGCCTAATTAAAAATAACAAAAACATACAAATATTAATTTGAAGTAATTACACATATATATAAATTATATGACTAAAAATTGTGTTGAATAATTTCAGGAATTAAGTCACCAGTTGAACGCGGCTTTGAACGAAATGCAGGCGGCAATGAACCAGAAGCAGTCGGTGACGCCCTGGCTCGTACGGACCCTCGGTGAGATACGTCACTATATAGATAGAAACAACACATGAAGAATGAATGAATGAATGGAAAAGTGAATGCTTAAAAAACTGACTGAATGGTATATATTCTGGCATTAAATTGTGGATTGCATTAATCTACATCGTTCTTATTAGAATGAATGAACGTAAAGTCTATTTTTTTAATAAAAAAGTCATATGAATGAATGAAATCTTATATTCACAGCCTTCTATCATTCACAGAGTCGCGTTTCTGCTTTTCATGCGTTTTATTTTTATTACAACACAACACTTACACTATTACACATATGTCGCGCACTTCAGAGCAAAGCATTTTATTTTTCACAGAACTAAACATGTTTTTATTCTTCTCATATTATACTGAACACTGTCTATGGTATTTGATAAATATTATATTCTGTGGACTCCTTATATTGTCTATGGTATCTATCCTAACTTGTTGTCTTTGTTGTAGGTGATAAAACCTCATTTAATAAAATGTAATGGAGGTGAATATAAAAAATATTATATTCTAGAATTATGTGATGGGTATTGCATCTAGTATCATGTTTAATGTTGAACACACTTAATAACAGTCAATATAGATACTGAAAAGATATAGGTGGAATTAAAAAAAAAAAAATAAATTGGCTCTAAATATCAATTGGCGTTTTATCACAGCTTTGAATTCACTGTTATTTTGTGAATACATATTAGCGTCCTCTTTATAGTTTTAGTTATGATGCATGTTCGTTTGTTTATACAACTTTGTTTCCTCATTCGACACATGCTTCTATCGCACTATGTTCATGATCTGTTACATTTTTTAGTTCAACGTAATCTAGCGAACCCTTATATGCAAGAAATTTAGTTTTCACATATTATAGCTCGGATCTAATATAAGTTTCTTCTAAACAAAGGTTCTATAATGGAGGCGGCGCAGAACAGACCATCGTTCCAGACTTATCTGCCTAATTTGAACCAAGAGCAGCCTATACCGAGGCAGGGGTCATTCAGCGGTCAGGGTCAGAGTCACGTGACCCTTGACCGTCGCGTGTCAGAGCCTTACAGCCCAGACGTGGTCAGGAGGAAGAAGGATCTCAACTCTAAAAGGCACTCGATGTTAGTAGAATCGAATATAAGTAAAGAGGCGAAGGAAATGAACAGACGGAGTCATGATGTGACCATAGTTAAGAATCTATCGATGGGTTGACCGCTAATACATATAATAAATGTCTCTAATATGTATGATTCTTGAATTGATATTAGAATTGTGAATTATGTATCATTATATATGTTAGGTAATGCACATCATAGTATAACTAGTCAGACAGTGGAATCAGGATAAATATTTAATGCTCGCCATCTTGAATTAATCACTATCACATTTAAAAATATAAAAAATATGTTTTAATTCCATAAAAAATATATCACTGCTATTTAAAATATGCTAATAGTTTTTGGGCGCTTATATTAAAATGTTCCATTAACTGAATCCTAATTTAAAGTACCACTTGTATAATACAAATATTACTCAAATAATTTTTGTTTGTCTGAATGCTGTTTATCATAAAGTAGTAAGCATTCCGTTTGATGTCGTTTCATACCGATTTGTCTACAATCAATTGTTCTGTGATAAGGTCATGACGTCATACTGATATCTGTTTCGCTGGTACGAAATGCTCATTCATAATTTTGGATATTTGCGTTTTGCCATAGCACGAGTGCCTTTTGAGTGATTAGTATATAAAGGATGTTTATTTAGATGTAACGGTGGCACTGTAGTTTTCTAACATAAGTATATTAGTATTATATCTGCAAACGATATTATTTATTTTCTAAAATTAATAAAAATATTTATAGCTTATAATAGATACCGGACGGATATATACTTATTTTACGAGTGCAATTTAAAAATTAATAGTCATAGAGATATATTTACTATGTAATAGTCTATTGGAAGCTTATTGATGTCTCATACATACATTTGATGCTACAAAACTATGGGAAAAACTAATAGCATAGTTTAACTTTGCTTGGATTCAAAAAAATATTTACTAAAACTGCTTCATTTTTTACATTTAACTTAGAAATTCCATTTTATTGTTCCAAAGTATACAATTTGATTATATAGAAACTTATAAACAAATTATCACATTTTTTATTTGCGTTTTCTTATGATTTTTAACACTTAAAACTTGTACATGCTGCAAAGTTGCCATATCTAATATTTTTATTCTATAGTAGAAATTAAAGCACGTACGTAATTTGTTGAAAAAAACCAATATATAATGTAAAAAATATAATGCAAGTGTGTAAGATAGCACAAGAGCTTACATATTGTATATAGGCTGTAGCTGTTAAAATATTCCCGTGGCGATCCACTTGGCGGCAACGGAGAGTGACCGCTGGTGTTTTTAGCTGTTAAAATATGTCGCTTAGAACATTCATCTGTTATTTCTCTAAATAGATTTTTGCTGTGAAACAAATTATCTTCTCCAACTCCATCGTATCGGACAATATTCTTTTTGTATAAAAAAATATTAAATAACAAAAAATAAATATCTTTTAATTATATTTTTTATTAAAAAGTAGGGAGATATGTACTTACTTATACATTTCAAACGTGCTTTATTATTTCGCAATAAATTAAAACTGATTTTGTCATATAAATATAATTTTTAACATTGACATATCTTGAAGAAATTAAAACTATTTTGTTTTGAATTGTTATGTACCTGTCTAATATTTCAACATCAATGTAGCTCTCTTTTTTTCAGTATATCAGTTTAAATGTTTTTATTATTGAATTAATGAGTCAGTTATCGAATAATATTATTTTTAACATGTATGTACCTATAAGATTATATTTTAATATCATTTGACAATAATAATAGTTTACTTAATTCTGATTAATTGTTCGTATTTCATGTTAATACCTACATATCTTTGTATTAAACATGTTACATTAAAATTGAAATTAAATTTGATCTCTACTTATTATAAATGCAAGTATTATAAAACAATTAGAATTTTCGCATGAGTGAATAATTTGAAATGGTATTATTTTTTAATTCAGATTATATTATGGCATATATTATAATTTAAGTACGCATTTTTTATGGTAACACTTTCTTAATAGTTTCTTGTGTAGCCGAAGTAAATGTTTAGTGATTTGGTAAATTGTTGGGCAATATATAACTCCTAGTCCCTACGGCCATAGATATTTCTCATTCTGTATATGTGCTTGGTTATGTCATAGAAAAGACACTCGATGTATAAATAAAGCAGAAATATTATTAAGATGTGATGCGAGTAGAGTGAACTGTGTCGCTGAGAAATGTTGTTTTAATCTTATCATTTATGTAATAAAAATTTTACAAATAATTCTGTTTTTTATTTCATATAATAACACTTTTAATGACTGTTTAACTTGAATTTAAAGGAAAACTTGTGAGCAAATGGTATAATGCTGAGAAAGTAAATGGATACTATAGGATAGTAATGCGTGTTTTCGACCAAGGGCTAATTGATATTTAGATTTACATTTAAAAAATATGTATGAGGTGAGCTTTATCGTCTTTCTATATCCTTAAATGGTGAAATGTTAATATAAAAAAATAAATTCAAGACATTTCTGTTTGTGTCTTAAAGACAAAAAATTGAGACAAATCTTCGTCACAAAATTTATCATCCGATTGTTAATTCTCTGTGGTTTTCAAATAAGCAGACGTTATTTGATTTAACTGCCATCTATTATCTGCTAGTACATACAAATATCAGTACGCCATCTATCGTCGAATAGATAAAATCACTTTTACTTTATTGGATCTGAAATTGTACAAGTGATATGAAATGTTAATATTTAAAGAATATCAAAAATAAAACAGAAAAATATAATGATTTTTCTACATATATATAAAACTACTTATTTTCACTAATACACTGGTAAAGGTAACGCTGATTGGTTCTGACATTCAAATAAGACGCAAAATCAGCTTTTAATATACAGACCTGAATAAATAAACAACACACCTGGTTTAAAATATTCCGCCGATAAGAACAGGCAGACAAAAAGTGTTGCGATTGTTACTATTTTATTTATAAGTGACATCTTTGAGTATTAAATACCAAGCCAATTTAAGATCACATAATACATCTGCAGTATGTATCACTTATAAGATTGTGTAGTTTTCATGTTTTATATACGACAATATATTTTTACATCTTAAAAACAATATAAATATCCAAAGCTAAACTATTATTTCTCAATCTATCTCGATAAAGGATGGTATCATAGTGCAACCATTTTGGATTAGGGAACTGTAAACATCGGCTAAATGGAACACGATTTATAGTTTTATAACACAGCGATCACTTAACTGGGTCACACGGAGATGTCGAAAGAAAATGTGTTTAGAAACTTCCTCTTTATCTTGACTAACTTACTGTTAGGAACCAAAAATGAACACACATAATACTTACGATATAAAAATATATATATAAGGATACTATTTTATTTAATTTAATTATGGTAATGTAAATAAATGTAATTAAAACTATGGATTACTTTGTCTGGTTGATTTATAATCAGACATCGGTAAAGGTGTGGGAGCATTTCAATCGATGGCAGGTGGTTACAGACAGATGTTACGCTTCTGCGATTCCCCTATGAATTGTTCTGTGTGAACGGATGTACAGACAGCAAAAACAAAAACAACTGCTCCATAGAGTGTACGTACTGTACGTCTCTACAGAAAGAGTGAATTTTAACTGTAGTTTTAATTAAAAATATATTAGCTGCCTTGTATAATCAATACAAGTTATGAAACTTTATAAAGAGAACACTTGCTTAAGATATTTTACTACGGTCCGAGTATGTTTTTTAAACAGGCGTCATCTATAACACAAACATTCTCTACTTATAGTAAACATTCTGTTAAGACAAATCAATTTAAAAATAAATTCAATAAACTCTTTATATTAGTTAGGCAATAACATTTTTAGATATTGGTTTATTTTTGAATTGTTTTCAAAAATGTATAACGTATTTTATATATGGTTGTGTCCGTTACGTTAAATTACAGAAAGCAGATTAAAATCCTACACATTTTTGAGTTTATTTGTAACAAAAGCATTGGCTTGAACCTTTTTATTTATTGATTCAAGATATGTTATAAGTTATAATATCCACGTAGTTATTATTATAGCAAATACATATATGTATTTCCAAAGTACATACTCCGTCAAAATGTTTCTCGTAATTCGTAAAATCTTCTTATTTGTATACATAAACAAACTCATATGGTATAGTTAATTTATTAAAGATTATTCAATAACTAGCTTTTGCCGCGACTCCGTCCGCGTGGAATAGTGACTTCCGGCAGATTTTTGGTTCTTCCCACATAGTTCCCGTTCTTGCGGGGTTTTTCGGAATGGTCGAGTTCCCGTAGAATTTTCAGGATAAAACCTTTGTTTTTTTTGTTCAAAATGAAGTACTCTTAACCAACAACATATTTATTTGTTTATATGAATAAAGATTAATATTATTATTTTGATACAACTTAAACAAAGTATTTCGACAAAATTGGTACCATAAAAACGGTTTTTGTGAGTTAATCTTAAAAGATAGACATATACTGTCGTGCACTGTTTTTTAGATCATTAAAAGAGCTATTATTCTTTAGTACATATTTTTTGTGTATCTTGAACCGTTTTCACGGCGCACGCAACTTAAGGCTTCAAAGATGAAATAATTTCTCCCGTTTTTTACACATTTACCACTATATCTTTGCTCCTATTGGTCATAGCGTGATGTTATATAGCTCACAGCCTTCCTCGATAACTGGACTATCCAACACAAAAAGAATTATTCAATTCGAACCAGTAGTTTCGGAGATTAGCGCTTTCAAACAAACAAACAAACAAACTCTTCAGCTTTATAATATTAGTATAGATTTAATCAATAAAAGAATAACGAAAGTAGAGTTTAGAATATATATTGTTTATCATATTTTAGGATTAATATTTCGCAGACCTACGTCTGGTAAGTGGTAAGAGGATCGATAGAAAAGTCTGGAACAGCTCGTGTTCTATACTATGATGAATCACAATAACAATAGTATACATATTCATGAACGTGTGAAATCTAACATTGAAAATATCTAGAAGACAATACAAGCGTTGTAAGAGAATCTATCATTACAGTCCGCA